GGACGTGACTGCCAGGCTCCACCTCAGCGTCGCCGACACGAGGATGATCATCTCTGTGGCAGCCATAGAGTAATGACCCACCTGCCCTGCAGGAGCCCAAAGGGGACACGTCCCAGTCACAGCAGGCAAAGTGGTCTGGGGAGGGTTTTAGCTTTTAGAGTTTGGGCATTGCAGACGTAGCTTCTTCCCCAGAAATTCCAGAAACATGGCTAGGGAGAAAAGTGGGAGCTGCAGCTCCCACACTCCCACAAAGGCCCTGAGCCCAGATGGGGAGTTTGGAGAAACAGGAGAAATGCTTAGTACAGCTCAGCACCTGCAGCTCCTCTGCTGCTCTTTGTTTTCCAGGGATGTCGAGCTCAGCCTGGCCACCTCTGATGTGGGTCCTGTACTGGTAGGTACCTCCAGCTGTGGGCACTCCTGGAACCATCCTCTCAGAGCCTGGTCCCCCTCAGCTGCCCCAGCCATCCTGGGCAGTGGGTGCCAGCAGGGAAATATGGGAATACTGAATTTGGGTTCTTGCTGCACCTGCTGGGAGGGACAGTTGAGTCCCTGTGGGGTGGGAAGAGGTGCAGTGAGCATCAGGACCCTCTCACGGGTCTCTGCCCCTCTCCTCCTGCTTTAGCCCCACACCAGGAGCTGACCTCGACTTTCCCCCACAGGCTGCCTTGCTGGAGGAGCTGTTCCTGCCCACAATCCGTGAGGAGGTGCCAGCCCAAATAAACAGTGAGCAGATGGGAGCTCTGCGGGTGCTGCCCTGTGGGAAGTTCAGCATGGACCCAGGCAGCACCCAGCTGGCAACTTTCCCTCTTTCTTTCTCTCAGAGGTCCTAAGACAAGGGGTTTTCCTGCCCCACATCGCCAGTTTCACTTACACCGATGTCAACGTCACAATTCACAAGGTAAGAAATAAGACATTTAAATTGCTCCCTGCTGTGCTTGATTTAAAGGAAGCCTGGGAGCAATGCTAACCTCCCAGCTCCAGAATAAATCAGAGCCTGATCATCCAGCCCTGGTAACTTGAGGGACCAAGTTCCACTGCCTTAAATAGGCCGAGCCCTGTGCACAGAGGCAGTGGTTGGGGCTGTGGGTGGTGATGGTGGAGCCCTGTGTGGGCTGATGGAGCCACACAGGCACCAGGCTCAGTCCTGCTTCTTTCCTTCCTCACTCAGGATTATGTCTTGATCCCCTGCAACCTCCAGCTAGAGGCAAGGGCTGGAGAGGCAAACACCTGGGAGTGAAGTCCAGTGTCTGGAGTAGAACAGCAGCAGAATCATTCAGCTGACTCTCACATCGTGCTCTGTGGTTTGCCACTGAGCATGTTGAAAATCTTCTTTCTTGACTTACTAAAGCATCATGGGTTTATATTCTGGATAATAACGGTGTTGCACTAGCACCTTTCTCTTCCAGCCCTGCTCCTGGTAGTTTTGTTGCACAGAGAATGGATTGTAACAACATTACATGCTTTAATTAAATATTTCTCTTTAATTCTGCATTTGCTGGTGTGACTATTGACATTCTTCCCCCCTCAACAATTTTTACCTATAAACAGACAAATTTTGCCCATCATGTCCAGACCCTACATTTAATTAATCCCACTCATTTACAAGGATGCAAAACAGACTCGTGCCTCTCAGCTGCAGAACATCATCCCTACAGCGAGAGATCTTTCTGCTTTCCCTCCATGTCTCGTGTTACTATGGGAACATTACAGCTGGTGAGTTTCCTGGGTCAGAAAGAAGAGGAGGGGGAGGAAATCAGTCTGCAGAATGGTTTCTAATTTTAGACCTGAAGGCAGTTATATTTTCAACACTTTGCTTCTGAGAAAGCTCATCACAGAGAAGATGCTGAATGAGAGGTGACTGCAGGAGTCAGACTGCGCCGGCGCCGTGCTCGCTGGCCCTGGGATGCTCTTTCCTACTGACCAAACACATCCCCTGCTTGTTCAGGAACATAAAAGGGGGAAAAACACCCACAGCAGACACAGGCACCCAAAAGGGGAGGGGGGTGGTAACAGAGCTTCAGAAGCTGCTCTAGTCATTCTGTCACTGGGTGCTGGTGGCACCTACCCCAGACAGGGTGAACATGAGGCTGTGCTGATGCCCAGGAGGAGAATCCTTGTCCCTGACCGTGCAGCCCAGGAGGAGAATCCTTATCCCTGATCATGCAGCTTCCACCTCAGCTCTCCTCTGGTGATGCTTCACGTAACCATGAAACCTTATTAATTACATCTACATCTGCTTTCACTTGCTACATCTATACCCATCATTTCTAGCCTCTGAAGCTGCTGAAAAACACTTCAAAACCTATTTCAAAGGCTCAGGAATAGGAAAAGCAAACAAAACAAGCCAGGTTGATTTACTGCAAGGAATAAAGAACCCTGAAGGTTTATATGCCCAGAGTGGGGACCTGACTAATGATGTTAATGTCTGAGGTTGGCCATAGCAGGAACAGCTCCTAGTAAAAACTTCTTGGTAGAGCTGCAGCCATTATTCTTTGACTAATATATGTTAAACCAGTTTCCCAAAAGGAATAAGCTACAGTAGTAAAAAGATGCATTTCTTTGGCAGGGAATATTCAGGCTCCAAGCTTCACTGCACGACTCTGCCTCTCAGGGAGTCTCAGGAGCTGCACCCACAACTGCCAGCCCCACCTGGGAATAGCCATAGGCTTAGAGCTGCCTCATGCTGGGGAATCAGGGTCATCTGCTTCTCCCTCCAGTCACCCCATTTATTGAGACCCCCAGCACAGCCAGGGAAAAGGAATGCTGAAAAAATTGTTGGCGTTAGCCCCTTTGGCAAACACAAAATCCATCACTTTCCTGGGCAGTCCTGCAGGAGGAGCTGCCTGGTGACCCCCAGCTTCCCTCACTGCTGGCACATGGAGCTGCATGCACCAGCCAGTTGTTCAAACCCTGGAGCAGGGGGAACAAACCCCTTCTCCAGCCCCCACAAAACAGCAGAGTAATGAATCTTTTGCCAGGGGCATTGATGGAGCAAGAGCCAGAGAGCTCCAACAAACCCACAAACCACCAGCAGCACAGCCAGGCCCTGGCAACCCCTCCTGCTGCTCACCCAGAAGAAGATTTTCCAGCCTGTCAGGGTTCCAGTGTTAAAGGAACCTTCCTGAACAGGATTATCCCAGCTCTTAAGGGTTCTGGATTGCAGTTTCCTCCTCTGGATATACTCCTGAAGCCACTAGAAATTCAGAGCATTAGATGTACAAACTGCAGAAGTGACAAGTAACACGGAGAAGATGCTGAGAACACTCCTCTGCTGCTTCCCCCTCAGTTCCATGTGATGAACAGCACGATGGAGGCCAGACCCCAAGAGCAAAAGCCTTTTCCAGGGGCACAAGTTGACTTTACCACTCTTCTGTGACCCTGGGCTTGCTGTGCCAGCTCTCCATGCAGCCACAAGCTCTCATCACATGTTCTCACCACACTGTTTCCTTTCTCAAGACAAGCAGAGGCCTGGGGCAGTGCCAGATCACAGAGTCCTCCATAATGTGCCAGAGAAATAAATGCCTCCCAGTAGCACAGAATACACACAGAAGTGATGGCCAAATGGGAATGAAAAGAGGCCCTAAACTTTACTTATGGTCTGGAAGGTGTTTGCTCAGGAACCAGAACAAAACCTTGTATCAACACAGCCTGTTCTGCCACCTGTGGGCAAAAGGGATGGATGGAGACACCAAGTCCCAGCAGTGCAGGAGCCCTGAAGTGGCACAAAGCGGATGCCAGCACAGGTTGCTGGGGAGTTGTCACCCGTCCCATTCTCCAGGTGACAGGGTCACACAGACCCCCAGACCCTGCTCTGCCAGCCCTGAGGGCACACTGGTGTCAGAGAACACGAGCAACAGGATCTGAGCTCTCTGCTCCTGGCTCCTGAGCAGCTTCCAAAGCTCCACAGCGTTCTCTCTTGCTGGCACCTCACTCCACAGGGGTTCAGCTGGCACTGGGGCTGTACCCAGTGCAGCACCTTGTCACCACACAGGAGCAGCACTTCTGCCCAGGGACAGGACAAGGCTTGTGTCACCAGCAGCTGAACAGACTCTGGGGAGCACAGCATCAGCCTGCACCGTGCTGGGAATAAAAAGAGCTGTTTATACTCACCAGGACACCCATCTTCAATGTCAGCATGGGCTTCAACCCACCCAAAGCCTTTCTCCTGGACACCAGCCAGGCCAGCCCATGTGGTGACTGTGTGTGACACCAGGTTTGTGTTTGGCACAGCTCAGGAGAGCACTGGCCAGTTCACACAGAGAGGGACCCCCAATGGGTCCAGCAGCTCCTCTGCCGTGTTCAGTGATTCCTCTGCAGCATCTCACAGCGATGCTGGGAGCTCATGCAGCAGCCACAGGTTTGGCCCCATAGATACAGAGCTGTTCCTACCTTCAGACAGAAATGCAGAGTGGAATACTGCCCCATCCCTCACCTGGTCAGTGCCAGACTGCCACAACCTCTGAGGACACAAGGGGTAAGTAACACACCCATAATAACATCCAATGATGGGAAAAATTGGTGTTGGAGAGGCTATTTAAAACCTGATATTTGTAATTTTTTTAAAACACAGAATGATTTGGGTTTTTTAAAATCCAAAATGCTGGGATTCTTGTCACTGACATGCAGAGAGCAGCAGGCTGTGATGTGAGCCTAAGCAGACACAGCTCTGGCAGGCAGACGGGTGTTCTCCAGGGCTATCAGACCTCTCAGTCCTCTGGTAAGGAAGTTTTCCCTCCAGATTCTATTGGGAAATGCTTCATGACCTTTAGAAATTCGATTTAATTTTGATTTCTGCTTGTGGATTAGCATTTGGTCAGCAGGTTATCAAGCCAAGAGGAGCCACTGAAAGTTCAATTTTTTTCTCAGGAAGTTCAAGTGGGAAGACTTTTCAAAGCCAAACTCCACATATCGATTGTCACAAAAGAAAAAGATCCCAGAGTGGAGGCAGGACAGAAGCTCACCCCGAGAAGCATCAGAAACCAGAACCTCATTCCAAGCACTAAAAAAGAATATTTATTAAAATAGTTACATGAGATGTATTCTGAGCTCCCTCTCAGCGCTTCACACCCTCCTGGACAAGGATGGGGAGATTCACTTCAGAAGCCACATGCAAATTCACTTTTTCATTCTATCAGGAAAAGTTTTACCTCAGAACAAATTTCCCAATTCCACTGCAGCACCACATTCAACTGCTGTGACTGTGACCCCCAAATCACACCAACTTCTCTAAATAAATATTTGTACACAGAGCTGCCAGTCAGGTTAGGCTTACACAGGGGTCAAACTGTACTCACACAAGCCATTTCACTTTAAAGTGTCTTAAATATTATCAAGAATCTTGAATCAAGTTTAGTAAAGAAAAGCAGATAATGCTGGTCCTGGCACTCCATGCTCGCTGCTCTCTTCCTCTCTTTGTCCCCACAGTCCTCTCCATGCCTCAGGCTCTGCAGCTCACACCAGAAACACCATCAGGCCCTGGAGGAGAGCAGGGAGAAACACAAACACATTATCTCCCGTCAGGGGGTGTTGGTTCACAACACACAGCAAAGACAGAACCCTCCTGCAAAAGTCCTCGTGTCCAGTTTGTAATAAGGAGGGCACAGAACTCTTTGGAGGGTGTTGGGGAATCTCCCAGCTACTCCAAGACACCTCCAGGGTGAACAGGGCTGGAACTTGGGGCAATTCAAGACTCTTTGAATGGTGCCACTGGAGAGGGCTTGTCTGAATGCCTGGATCCACATCAGAGCTGCTCCCACTGAGTTCTTCAGAAAGAAAAGAGGGCCTGGACAGGGAACTGGGACTTGCCCCAGTGCCTGAGCACTGCTCGTGATGCAGCTGGGGCCACACCCCGTGTGGGCATCACATCCTCAGGAACATTCCCTGACCTGAGGGAGGTCAGAGACAGCAGCCCTTTCAGTCTTTCAGGAATTGAATTCTACAGCCTTGCACACCCACCCAGCACTGGCAGGGTCCTGTGAACAGCCCTGGAGCCTTACAGGAGGGAACAGCTCATCTGAGCACTCACCGCTTTTATCTGGAAATCCACATTCACTAAGGGAATGCGCAGCACCTTTGGCAGGGGGATCCCGATGCTCAGGGCACCTGCAGGGGACAGACAGGTCCTCACATGCTGAGCCAGCTCACCCCACCACAGAGCTGCTCCAGGGAGGGCCCAGGGAGCAGAGCTTCTCGGGGCCATCACTGTGTGCTTGGCTTTCCTTAGGTTCTCCATCACTGACTGTTGCCAGAACCGATGCTGGGGTGGGATGGTGCAAATATAAGGTTGGACTTTTAACTACATCCTCAAAATTGGGATTTCAGGGTTTTAATGGCTCCAGCACTCCTTGTACATCTTCCAAACACACACACACACACACACACACACACACACACACACACATACACGACCCCTCTTCCCTCCTTGCCCAGAACTCAAAGTGCTCCCAGCATTACAGCCAGGTCACCTTACCATTGATCACAGGCAGGAATGTTTCCACAAGCAAGCTGATGCAGTGGGGCTTCAGAGGGGAGACCTGAATCAAAGAAGGAACAACCATGTGAGCAGCACTGCCTGGCCCATGCCAGCAGCAAGCAGGACCCTTGGGACTGCAAACCACTGTCCACTGACACAGCAAAAGAACAGTCCCTCTTCTCTTTAAAGTGAATCTACTTTTCTTCTTCAATTTGTATTCAGTCCTTCCTTTAGAAAAACTTCTGCCTCGTGATGCTTCTGCTGCAGCTCAATGCGAGCTTTGCCCAAGCAGAGGTGAACAAACAAACAGATTTCAGCTTTACATTTCTTTATTAGAAAAGGCAGACAGGAAAAAGAAACCCCAGCAACAAAGGAATTGCTACAACCTCCACCACAGAGCAGCTAACAGCTCTGACCATCAGCAGGGGTAATCCATCACAGCATCCCACAGTCACTGCCTGCCTCCCTCCCTCCCCAGGAGCCACAGGGCATCATGCCTGGCTGCTCTCCCTGCCCGGTAAAGCCCAGACTAGTGTTAGAGACTTACATTACTGATGCCAACATCAGAAGACTCCAGGGAGAGGGAAGTGCTGCAGGGAAAGGAGAGCAAACAGCAGGTCAGACACAAGGCACCAGCCAGAGCTCACAGACAGACCCCAGCCACCTCCAAGCACACTCAGCCCCTGGGCAGAGAGACCCACAAAGGGACACCTGCATTGTGACATGAAAAACAGGGGCTGGCACTTGCAAGAGAGAAAAGAAAATAGGAAAATAAAAGCTTAACCTAATTTAAATTTGCTTGTCAATGATGCAGCACTGCAGCAGGGCACACACAGCTCCTGGCTGCGCCTTCCCTCTCCCTCCCTCCACTTTCATGAAGGAGACAGCTCCTGGCCAACTGAGAGCAGAGCTTCTGGAACCCTGTGGGAGGGGGAGCTGGAAATGGATGATCTTTAAGATCCCTTCCAACCCAAACCACTCTGTGATTCTATGTAAAAGCACACAGTCTGGTGAATTTGCTACAGCTCCTCATCTATCACTGCAATCACACAACTATCCATACCTAAAATGGATGCTTTATTTCCACTTTCAATTTCTCTTTTCTACTTCTATTGAATCTTGTTATACCCTTGTCTATTGAATTAAAAGCCTTTTGACGCATTTCTATTCCCTATATCGCTGCATACAAGCTATGCCAATTTTGCTTCTAAATCCAGCTCTTTGACAAGCTAAATGGCCCCAAATCCTCAAACCTCCCGCTATAAGGAATGCTCTCCAATCTTTAATCATACCTTGACTGGCATTAATGACAGCACTTTCCTTTACTGCTTTATCATTCATGTCCAATATCAGGGATTTCGAACCACTGCCCAGGATCAAAGTCAAGCTGACAGTCTTACAATTATTCAGGTTACCTCATTCCTCCTTGTTATAAAACTGACACACTTTTCCTCCAGCCTCTTAAAACTTTCCGACTGCTGCAATCCTTCCTGAACTACCCCATTTACCTTATGCCATCAGTCAGGTATGAAATTCTCACATTCAGATGAAATGTCTGGTTTACAGACACAGAAAACATTTCAAGTCAGGAGCCCCAGAGCTCACATTGCAGCACAGAGAATGTCCCCACCTGTATGAGGGGACAGCTCACCTGCCCAAGGCCAGCTGCAGCACCAGCCTGCCCCCAACAATCGACACACGGACATTCAGAGCCAGGTCCTGCAAGCAGAGAGGGAGAGCTCAGCACACAGAAACATCCCCATGCCAGCCACCACCCACCCACCCCACTGCACCCCTCGGGGGCAGCTCCAGCCACACTTACAGCCCTCAGCAGCAGGAAGTTGAGGATGGATCCGTCTAAGCGGTTACTGAACAGCTGAATCAGGACCGAAAGCTTGACACTGGCTTTGTTTTCTTCCAAGAGGATGAGTGGGTTTCCTCTCAACACCAGTTTGATGCTCAGAGGACTGGTCCCACTGCAGGCAGAGCACTGTGGGAATTGGGGACGCATGGAGGTGGCTGCTGGCACCCCACACACCAGCCAGGCAGGGGACTGGCAGTCCTCAGGCAGACTCTCACAGCCCCATAGCTCCACAGGGCCTCCCCAAGGTCACACACACCCTGGACAAGCCAAATTTACAGAGCAAATAGGCCTGGCAGCACAGTTCAGCTCTCCATGCTGAGGGCAGAAGGGATGAGGAAGGCAAGGTGGACACAGAGCGGGCTGTGGGTGTCAGAGGGTGCCCAAGAAATGGGATATACCAGACAAGGTATATATACCAGACAGGAGACATTTATCAGCTTTCTATGTCAATGGCTACAGGCTGAGAGAAGGCTTTCCCCTCTTCAGGGAGCAGGAGAAGGCTGGAACAGACAATGGCACACAGGAGAGCAGGTACTGGGCAGGGCTGTGCAGAGCCCCAGCCCCTTCTCCCACCCCCATCAGCTGGCCAGGCAGCAGACAGGCTCTCTTGCTGGTGCAAGAGGAGGGGAGCAGAAAACTGGGGACCTTTGGCAGAGGCATGATGACAAATCCAGGTGTATCCTGGAGATCTTTACACAAACCCTTGTGCCAGAACAAGTTCCTCACCCCAGCAGGAGCGATGGTCCACACGGCTTCGCGCAGGCGGCTGGCACCAGAGAACTGTGGGAACAGAAGCACCAGCAGCCCCCATGAGCCCTCCAGCTGATTCCAACAACACCCATCCTGCCAGGGCCACCCCATCACACGGCACCCTGAGCCCCCCACTCTCTCCAATGTTCCCCAGCAGTCTGGGTGACTCCTGGTAGTTGTTAAGGTGACAGCACCCAACCGTGGAAGGTGATGTCCCCCAGAGGCTTTCAACACCTGCCAGTGTGTGGACCCCCAACATTTCCCATTGGAAGTCGAGATCAGAGGCATGGGAAGTGCAAACAGCCTGGGAATGGCACTGCAGATGTGCAATGTCTTTTCTCCACAGCGCTTTGCAGACTCCTTGAAAGGCTCAGAGCCTGCAGGAGTCCATGGCATGACCAGCACACAGCTGCTCTCAGCTGGTGTCCCTAGGGGGGTCCTTAGAGAGAAGAGCACAGCTGGGCAGTGCAGGTGCTCTTACAGCTCTCTGAGGAGGGCAGGAGGGAGGCAGTGCTGGGGTCGAGCCTCTGGCACACGCACCATGCACACACCCAGGGACACCAGGCACAAAGAGCCCTCCAGGAGCAGACCCGAGGCCAGGCTGACGCCTGTCCCTTGTCACTCCAGCATGAAACACAAGCCCTGCTGCGCTCACAACATCTGGCGTGCAGGGGAAGGTCTGCGGCGGCAGCTGGAGCAGGAGGGACAGGACTGCGTTGAGGAAGCTCTGCCGCATCACCAAGAGCAGGAGCCGGTCCATCAGAGGAGGCAAAGCAGAGGGAGATGAGTCGTGGGGGATGGTGCTGCCTCCCACCTGCTTCACCACGCCCTGCAAAGAGAGGTGACACAGATATCAGCCCTCAAAGGCTCGAGGCATGTTGAGATCTCACAGGAGTGCAGGGCTGTGCCAGCTGAGCATCCTCCCTCCTCTCCTCGGAGCTTCTGGAAAGCAGCTCCTGCTGTTTCATAGATGGCAGGAGCTGATAAAGGTGAGCCTGAGGTGCTATTAGCTAATAACACACTCTGTCCAAATCACAGATCACTGCTTCACCTCATCCCTCAGGCCTCACTCCAAATGCCAAGGGGTGACAGTGCTGCCCGGTGATCCCAGACCTGCCCCCAGCTCCACAGACACCCACACTGACACCGACTTTTTGCTAAGGAGACTGAATCTGACCATCCGGGGGGCTTGGGGGGCAAAAGCTCCTCCCAATGAAGTCATTGCACCAAAGCCAGTGCAGCAGCATGGGTTTCACAGGCTGCAGCATCTGCTATCAGCCCCTGCTCCTCTTTAGTGCTCACGTCCCATTTGCTTCTCTCCAGCTGCTGGCCTTTTTTAAGCTCTCCTGTTAGCAAGTAGTTTGCTTTTTGCTGTTCCCCACACCCATAGTGGGACAGAAGTAAAAAATACATCTATTTACTATTCACCCATTGCAGAGACTGAACAGCAAAAGCAAAAAGTACCAACACCAGGTCTGCAGGAAAAGGGAGATGAGGAAAACTGCTCATCCCATGAGAAGGAGAACTGCTCATCCCAGCAGTTACAGACACAGCCTCAGGCAGACTCGGGGTAGGTTGGCACAGAGTGCAAGAATAAAAGCACACACAATCGCTTAGTGGTGGTTTGGATAAAGATCTAAGCACTTAGGAGCTGCATTTCCAGGACAAATCATCAGCCCAGTTCCTCGTGGGATTCTACAGCTTCCTTGGGATGAGGTGAGCACACTGAAAGGCAATGCACAGCCACCCTCCCAGGCTCCTGCTGCCCAGCATTAACTTACATCTAAATCCAGCCCAAGGAACTTGCCGGAGGTGTAGGGGATGCTGGCCAGCTGGTAGTGGATTGTTCCTGCTGTGCCGACCGGGATCACCGCTACACACAGGAAAAGGATCGTTACAGCGCCAGGAATCAGCAGCAGCACAGCCCCCCTGGCCCCAGGGGCCACCAGCCCCCACTCCCACAAACAGGTCCAAGCATTCAGGGCTGAGGGGTGCCTGCTGCTACTCCAAAAGGCCAGAACATCCCCAAATTGAGCTTGGTGGGATCTGCCTTTAGGATGTAGCACCAAAAGAGCATCAAAGACAATAAGAAAAATCCTAAAGTGATGCATAAAAATGGAATAAGGAGGGCCTAGGTGGGATAAGTTCATTGGAATGCTGGTGTTTGAATTCCAGGCTCAACAACAGCCCTGCAGAAGAGCTGGACTTCTGTTGATGCACTGAGGGGCTTGATGTGGGAAATAGTTCTTGTTCCCGCTGTGGGAAACACGGGGAAGCCGTGCCTCACCCTCCACAAGCAACTCACCATTGAGAGTGCTCAGGAGATGGATGTTCACAAGGTTCATCACGATATCGACCACAGGACAGAGCTGCAACACCAAGCAGAAATTGAACTGCTCAACCCTCCTCACACCGTCACCCACAGCCTGCCCAGAGTCCCTCTGGCAGGGAAAAAGTTGCATGGCAATAGACACAGCTGGGATGCAGTGAAAGACTTGGGGCAGTGGAGCATCCCTGGAGCTGTGGGACCACGCTGAAGGGGAATTTTATGTTCTGGGGAACATCTGAGGCATCCCCCTCCAGGCAGTAGCCCTGTGGACACCCCAGCCCCATGGCAGTGATGTGGGAGAGCAGCACAGACTGACAGTGCATCTTGCTGTGTAAGATAACACAGTTTTTCCCAGTATTTCTGTGTTTCAGCTGTGAAAGGAGGACAATCCTCAGCCGTACCAAAGCAGGCAGAGTCGCTGTCAGCTGGCGAAGCACCAGCTCATTCACTGACAGGGTGAGTAAGCTGGAAAAGAAAGGGAAAAAACTCCAAATCAGCACAAACAAAGCTCCAGGACAGGAGACAAAAAGATCTCCAGCCTTCATTTTACATTCTCCTATGCCCTCAGTCATCCCTTCAGGGCCAGTGCTGCAACCGATGCTCACCAGAGCAGGGGCTGGAGATAAAAAAGAGCCACTGAGGGGAGAATTTGACTCATTGCTGAGAATCACAGACTCATTAAGGTTGGAAAAGACATCTAAAAGTCCAACCATCAGCTCTGCACCACCACCATGTTCCCCACTAAACCACGTCCTCAAGTGCCATAGCCACATTTTTTTAAGCATTTCCAGGGGTGGTGTCTCTACCACTTCCCTGAGCAGCCTGTTCCAATGCTTGACAACCCCTTCTCTGAAGAAAATATTCCTTCAGCTCTCAGGGAGCTTTCACTGCATGAAAGGAGTGAGCCTCTCACAGTCTAACCTTGTGCTTGGTATCTCCCTCGGGTATTTAAATCAGTGCTGTAGTTAAGGGAAGAGGGAGCTGTTAGGAAATATCTTCATGTTAGTTACTGGGAACAAACAATTTGCATCTGGAATAACAAGAGGGGAAATCTGCTGTGTGACATTTCAACACTGCTGCTGAACAACTCACTCAGGACCTGTGACGCCTGCAGCAGCACAGAGGCAGTTTTGTCTGATAATCAATATATTTCTGGACTGTTGAGTTGGCAAGACACAGACAGCAGGAATTAATGGCACACCTGTTATTTATGCCCAAATTCTGCCTACAAATGGATCTGAGGAGCTGCCATGAAGTAATTTGTGTACATCTACACTTCCCTTGCCCCTCTAGGAGTTCACTTCCTGCAAACCATCACTTTAATCCTGCTAAAAATTAAACCATGACCCCCCAGAGCAGGTGAGTCGTGTTGCTCTGTTCACTCACACTGCATTTTTCAAAGCAGCTGCTGCACTGATTGAAATACAATGCATAATGCAAAAATTAATTAGGAGAATTTTGATGAACCTGAAAAGTGAGTAATTCAAAAGCAATAGAAGAAAATATTTCCCACGATCAATTTACTGCTGCTTTCATTAATACATGAAGTCAGCAAATCTTTGCTGTCAAGAATTTAATAAGACTGAGCAAGAGATGAGACATTTGCATGGAATTGCACACAACCACAGCAGTCAGAGGGAAACTCCACATGCCAGGCATTCTCCAGGGACAGCAGCCAAAGGAAGAGTACAAAACCAGGGAAAGTAATGGTGCTGTTTTCCTGGAATTCTCCCAGCCCTATTACTCCTACTCTTTGGAGATCAATTCTCTAGCTAAATCCAGAGAAAGTGTGTTGGGAAAGGTACCAAACCTCATGCTTCAGACCTTAAAATCTCCACAGGCAAACAGGGCAAATTAACCCTCATTCCACTGATGCAGTTGGCGTTGGCAATGGGGAAGAAATTCCATCCCCAAGGCCTGGCTCTGTATCACTGAGCACTGTCTGTGTCCTGGCAGACTGTCCATATCAATAAAGAGGAGAGGATTGCACATAAAACATAAATCCAGGGGCACTTACCCAGAAAGGACCTTGATCTTTATGGCCCCAAGAATGCAGAGGCAGTCTTCAGTGACAACCTGGAATGTGCCAGATTCAAAATTCGTGCATTTAATGTTTGCAGTAATGTTCACCTCCACTAAGATATCAATGAGTTCTGAAAGCAGGCCAACCAAGCTGCAAAAAAAGCAAATGGGATTATTCCATCTCTCAGCCTCTACACACAGAAACTCACCAAAGCCAGGAGAAACAGACTTCTCCATGTCCTGCAGACTATTACCAATGCCACAGGTCATCTTTTAGTGTCTGTTTTGCTCTGTGACTTTATTATAGATAAGAAACACTTCAAAATCCCTAAGAGATGTAAAATATGTCAGGGTAGGGGTTTCCCTCAGCATCCATCCTGAATCCCCCACTCACCAGTTGCCTCTGAGCTGCAGCTTTGCCCCGATGGTCAGCTGGACCCCGATCCCTGGCAGCAGCACCACCGACAGCCTGGGCACCCGGACCTTGATGAGGTGCAGGCTGTGAACAACAGCAAAGGCTGGCACGGATTAAAAACACCTTCCAGCAGGAGCAGCTGCACCCAGGGAGAACCCACAGCACCCACAGCACCCCAGCCAGTTCCAGCTGGAGGTACAAGGGTAAGAGACAGCTGACTACAAGAAGGCAGCCTAGAACCAGACTGGGGTGGAAGCTGACTTTGGAGAGCTGTCTGCTGTCCCTTTTCCCTCTCTCAGTGCTGCCAGGCATTAACAGCACACCAGAGCTGTCAGTCTGCATCCACAACCTGCAGTGTCCCTTGCCACCCACACTGCGACCCCACAGACAAAATTATGGGGTCAGGATTTCAGTACCACAATAAAACAAGGATAACAGCCCAGGCCAACCATGCCAGGGGCAGCTCAGCTCGTCTTGCTCAGAACTGATGCTGAAGGTGGACTCCCAGTGAAGCACTTACTCCGTGATGCTGGTGGGAGAGTTCAGCTGACCCCCTTCACCCATGATGTTGGGAACCACAAGACCCTGCAGGTGCTGGTGGATGAGCCCATTATGAATTATGGCATCTGAAAGAACTGGAAAACAGCTGTATGTGAGGACCAGCATGGGCAGCAGTGACTTCTCCCCACTCAGGCAGATCCATCCTGGCACAGCAAAGCCACCCCGCTCCCCAAAACCCCTCATGAAGACATCAGCTGTCTCCATGCAGTCAAATAACACAGGGATGGTATTTTACAACCTTGGTGCAATAAACCAAAGCTGCCCTTGGTGAAGTAAACAGGAGGGGCAACAGTAGAAAGCATCCCAGACTCCAATTTAAACATCACAGCTTGGTTGTGCACTGCCAGGAACACCGGTGACCGCACTCAGAGGCTGGGCTTCCACTCACAACTCATTTCCCCTTTGTCAAAGGGATTTTCATTTGTTGATTTTTGCCTGTTTATTTTGCTTTTGGCTTTTGGAGTTTTGTAGCAGAAACAACTTGAAACAAGCCTGAACACTGCAAATATTATTATGTCTGCTACTTCACAGCGGCTGTTTGTCAAATATCAGCTGCTCCAATATGGAAATGAGAAACTGAGAAAAACAGAGGAAATAACCCAGATCTAGCTCTGAAATTCTGTGTGGCTGCTTGGAGCTGAAACATGCCCCAGTTCTGAAGCAGAGATTTCCCTGACCCATGAATCTGGTGATGGCTCTCAGGGGCTCTGAGCAAAGTCTGCAGCCCTGAGGAACTATGAAATAAAGATGACGGGGAGTAAAACCCAGGAAGTTTTACTCCCCATCAGAGTCCCACAGAGCTTTCAAAGCAAACACAGCTTTGGGGTGTTTTTTGTAGTTACCATTCTGCACTGCCTGCGGGCTGACAGCACAGGACAGGCCAGACAAGACCTCCTGCGAGGGCGAGAGGAGGCCGCAGAAAAAGATGATTCCAAAAAGCTTCAAAACCATCATCTCCAGAAGATTCCCCTGCTGGCAAGGGAGACATCAGAGGGGACAGTGAGGGAAAAAAACTCTCAGAAGTGACCTCAGTGTCTTTATGAGTACAGAAGTCAAGAAAGGAATCCCTCCTTTACTCTTTATCCAGATCAAAGGAGACTGTTCAAGCCCAGAGCAACAGGACCTTCTTCATGTCCACACACATGGACAGGCTCCTCGTGTGGGTTAATAAAAGCCCTTTCCTCATCCCTTCTGCCTGGCCCAAAATGTTCACACAAAAGAAGCCAAACTTGATGTTTAAGCTATTTCTGTATCCCTGTGATACAGTTACAGGTGTTTTGGTGAGGGGCTTTGCCAAGGGAAGCATCTGAGGATTATCTGTGTCCCTTCTACTTTTCAAAAGCACAAAACTAAAGCACAAGTGATAAAAATAAGCCAGCTAGAAGATATAACTTAATAATTAGTAGCATAAATTTAATTATGACCTAGCAGACACAGGGGGGTGATAAGGAGCTTGGTGCCCAGCACAATCTCCAACCAAAGCAGTCAAGCACTTCCAGAGTGAGGACCCTGCCACCCTGCCACCACACAACCAGCACACAGAGGATGTTACCTGACTCAGCTGCAGCCAGCTGGGATGGGCTCTTGGCTCCTCTCAGGCTCCTCTGGACTCCTCGAGACTCTGTGATGTCCCTTTTTTCCCCACAGCTGAGATGGAAGAAGTGGCCCTTATATAAAATCTGCAGCCAAGCAGACACGCCTTTTCCACTCAGCCTCCCTGGCCCATGAGCAGCCATCCCTTTGCTCCTGCTCCTTGCAAGCAACACCCAGCTGCCACCTCTCTTGATTTATACAAGGCAATGTCACTGCTGACTTGACCTCTGTGGCCTCCAGATCACTCAGATGCTGCTTTTTCCCCCACCCCCAATCTATCTTAAACAGGATGCCCTGCAGTGGTGGCTCCAGTGGGGATCCCTGTGCTTTGAGGAAAACAAGCTTTTTAGGAAATAGTGAGAGTTACTGAAGCATCCTGGCAGAAGGCTGATGGGGCTGCCTGTGCAGGGAGGCAGCACACAGAGCACAGGAATATGGGTTCCAGGAGACTTAGAGTAGGAAAAGATCTACTTTTGCCCATCCCTGACGAGGTGTGAGATTTTAAAGACTCATTCCTGTTTCAAATGGTGTCCTAGGAAAATATTTTCTTAACAAAAAGCAATGCTGAGAGTTGTAGAGATCTGATAAAGGTGGGCACTTAGATTGATTTCAGATAGATCTGTAACATGCCACGTGAAAAATGAAGTTGTATTGAAATGCACAAAGCCAGCGATTAGCACAGTTTTGAATAAGCAACACTTACAGTAGATGAACACCAGTAGCAGCAACATGGATTTCAAAGGAAAGTCTCATCCTGCAGGAATGAGGCTCTCACCCCGCAGCAGATGCCTTGGCTGGGCTTAGCAGAAGTTTCCATTGTGCAGGGCCCCGAGAAGATCTTATCTGGGCACTTGGTTTGAGTCTGGTCACCTGCGTTCAACTGGGATGGACGTGGGGGGAAACTGGGCAGCAAAGGGCTGCTGAGAGAGCTGGGGAGCTGGAGAGGGGCTGGTGTGCTCAGCCTCACGGAACAGGGAGCAGCAGAGATGCAATCACTCTCCACAAACATGGGAGAGGAGAAGGAGAGGACAGAGAGAGGAGAGGTGCCTGGGCTCAGGGACAAGTTTGGCACAGGATCAAACAAAGCTGATACATTCAGGTTGGAGTTAGGAGAAAGTTGCTACCACGACAGTGAGTTTAAGGCTACTTGTCCCCTGGGAATACAGAGAAATATACTCAGGATTCTCTTCAATACTCCACGAGGTGTGTTCTTGCAGTAGCAGCAAAGTGCTTGCACCGAGTCCCTCAGCATGTGCTGCCCTGGGCTTGGGCTCAATGGAGCAAACTTTTCCTTGTCACAGAAACTTGTTTTATTTAACACTCAACCAGCACTGCATTTGGTGTGCTGGTGACAGCCTCGGCCCAAAACCAGGGCATGAACTGGATGGTCTTAACAGGCAGCCTACGCATGCTGCTCCTTTCTTGTCCCCTCTCAAAGGTCCAAAGCAGCAGGCTGAGCAGGCACCACGAGCACACCCAGAGTGAAGTGTCCATGAGCCTGCTCCAGCTGTGTGCAGGAATATCCCTGCTGGCAAAAGGCAGCTGCTGAGCAGGGAGCAGTGTGGATTTCCAGCTGCTTTCAGTGTCCCTGTGTGTGCAATAAGCACCTGAATCACTGTGTATGTGATATCACAATGTACAGATGCTCAGCAGAGCCAGGCACTCCCGTCGGGTCCTCTCGCTGTTCCAGGAGAACCGTGTCCATACACACACCCTGCACCACAGCTGAACAGCAGCACTGACAGCAGCTGTGAGGAACACGGCCCTTTTTACACTCCCTGTCTATATTTCTTTTTGCTCTGTGACTTTTTCCTCCTCAGTCACATCCCTTGTCTCCCCTCTCATGCGCCCATATTTCATCCTCTCCTTGCAGCAGTGATTTAGATATCACTTACCAGGAGGCTGGATTCAGTCCTGCAGTGACAAGAGAAGATATATTAAAATAAAGCATTGCAAGAAATTGTAGAAGAGGTTGTCTCAACACAACTGCTGGAAAGCAGAAGGGCTCAAGGAAAGGTCAACACCCACAGAGAAGAAATGCTCCAGAGCAGCCTCTGGCATCCTGCACTGCCCCAGGCTTGCAGTTCTGCAAGAAGGCAGGTTAAAAAGCAACAGCATCTTTAGAAGAGTAATATTACAGTAATTAAATATAATAATTTATTAAATATTATTAAATTAACTGATTTTTTCTCTAATATTCAGAACCATGGAAGCCTAGGGAAAACTTAGTAGAATTGCACCATGCAGGTGCAAATTAAAATGCTGAGCAATGCTGAAGATGAAATAAAATCAGAATTTTTGCACTACATTTTAATGAGAGATGGTGGTTTTGAGATATTTCAGAGGTTTGCAGGTTACAGGAGCACAACTTTCTTTCACTGCTATGTGACAAACAAAATATAAAAATTAAAACTAAAAAGAGTAACCTCAGAATGCTAAAATTCTTTAATGGGCAAATAGTAACTCTTTGTTTAGAGTATACATACACTGAAGCCTCCCTCTTGAGTTGAACATCCTAAATCTGGTGGTAGGACTTGCAGCCTGTGATGGAGCTGCTTTGTACAGATGTTCAGCCTCTTCCCTCTCAGGGACACCTCCTAGGAGCCCGTGACTGCTTCCAAATGGATGCTGTGAACATTAATGAACTGCTCAGCCCAGATGTCGATGGAAGTAACTCCCTGATGCCAACAAGAAGGCAGCAGCTCAAGGGGAAGGAGAAAGCACTTGGGGGAGGAAAATAACACAGCAAACTGCTGTGCTGGAACAGAAACTGGGAAAGGGCGAGGGGGAACAAATTAAGTTTTAAGTGCTGACTGCAGCTGGTGTGGACTTGCAGCCTGGTCTCTGAAAAGCTGAAGTTCAGGTGATGAATTGTTTCCCCACCCAGTATTTTACTGGGGAATATGGCAACATACCAGATCTGCCCTGGGAGGGGGTTGGGCACCTCAGCCAGGGGCAGCTCAGTCCAGAGCCTGGAAAACAGGCACATGGAAAAGTGGCACTCACTGCTCTGATTCTTCTGCCTCACTACGAGCTGGCTTGTTCCGGGGAGATTTTTTTTTTCCACTCCTGTTAATGAAATTGCTCAGGGAAGTGGAAGGAAGGAACTGTCTCTGAGCTCCCCAGTGCAGTATAAAACGCTGAATTCAGCACCAGAAACACGGCATTAGTGCAGCACTGTCTCTATAGAGTCACCTGTGTTCTGGTTGATTTGGGATGGATTAATCTTCCCAGAGCCAGGCTCCAAAACTAATTTCAAGCAATAGGATTTGCCAAAGCATAAACTAGAGTCTTTTAGAAAGGACCTGGAAGGTTTTAGTAAGAAGTGAAGGACCCAAGCCCTCCTCAACTTTTGGGACTCGACTTGAGCCCAGGATTGACAGAAACCCACAATCCCCAGGGCCAGATTTACAGCTGGTTTAGCAGCTCCCATTGTCAGCAGCCCAGGAGGGCAGAGCAGCTTAATTAATACCCATCAGTCCTGCAGCACAGGCAGCCTTGCCAAGCTCAGGCTGACCCGGGGCTGCTGCTTGGCGCACAAAGGCCGGGCCCGTGGCAGGGCGTGCGTGGGCAGACGTCAGAACCCCCCTTTCCTGCTGTACCCCTGTCTGATCACTCAGCCCTGCAGTTTCCTACACGGGCAACTTGAGAAGCAGGAACATAATCTCAGGCAAGGGCCACACAGAGAGCCCAGGCAGGGGAAACAGGGAGAAGGACACAGAGGCAGGGCAGCAGCTCCCAGCGCTGCTGTCAGGAGGAGGCAGAGCAGCAGCATTGATTTCTGGAAGCATCCGCAATGCTGAGCATAAACAGCAAAGCCCAGTAAAATCACTGCCATGAGATAAGCACAAATCGATGTCTCCAGGAATGTTATAGACAGGAAATTTTCTTCTTCTGAGACGCCAGCAGAAGCAGAAGGAGCATAATGTTATCAGCCCCCAAAAAGTGACAAACTTCATCAGGCAGATGCAGCACAGTGAGATAGAAAAGAAATGCACAGAAAAGCATCACTCGCTGGATACTTTGCAGTGCAAAAATGGAGCCACTTCTGCAGATGGGTGTTCAGACCCTGCCCAGAGCTCCCCAACACAACACTGACAGCAGCACAGGCTGGAGGGCTCACAGGGACACCCAGGGAAGCCCAGGCAGCCTTGCAAATCCCTTCCCAGCTGCTTTGGGCAGGCACTGGCTTCACCAAGTTTTGCAATATTTTATCAGTATCTGTCACTGCAAAGACCAAAGCACAGCCAAAGTGCTGCCCTGAGCACCTTTCTGGGTGGGTGGTTTGCATCTGGACTTTCAGGTTTGGCCCATTTTAGGTTTCCCTGGGGTATCATTTCTCAGCTGGCCCCACACAAGGCACACTTGGTGAGCAGAAGAGGTTGTGACCTTCCTGAAGGACTGCCAGGAGCTGGCAGTGATGGACCACAGGGCACACACCAGCTGTCTGCCCTGTGTTTGGAGTGCATGGCCAGAGCCATCCCTGGTTTCTGCTGTAGCTGACCTACACCAGCATCTCTCCATCTCTCCCTCCCTCCCTCCCTGCTGCTGCCCAGCACAGCCACGGTAGCCTGAGTTCTTCAGTGGTGCAATGTGCACCTCAAAGTCAATTCCAGTTCTGTGTTTTAAGCAAATGAATCCTTCTCCTGCTCTCTTCCCATCACTTCCAATCACTCACACTGCGAGTGCTGTGAACGCCTCAATTCCTCCTCACTCTTCATTCTTCCAATTTATTTTTTTGCCTTCCTCTCAGGCTGGAAAATGGATTTCTGTCCATTTTGTTGTCTCAGAAAGTGTTGGCACTGTGGTGCCAGCAAAGACTTTTTAAATAAAGACAGCTAATTCTATGTGACTGAAGGATAGTGACACAGACTCAAAGTCATGTTTCTGTCTTGCCTGAGGTTTGGGGAAGCCTTGCTTTACAAAAAGAAAAGCAGTATTGAGTGAAATTGTCCTTGATAGTCTCCATTAATCCCTGGGAAGAATTAGCAGCAGCTTTATATTACATTCATACATCTTCTAGAAGCAAAGATTTCAGGCTTTCTGTCTTATTCACAGCTTTTAATAGAGACTTGACATGGTCTCTTTGGACACATCATCAGCAGAGGTGGCAGAATTAGTACCCTGCTTTGTCCAGATGCTCCTCGGGGGATAAATTACAGCCCTGCAGGCAGGCAGGGTTCAGAGTCAGCGTTATGGAAATAAATGCTTATATCCAGGAAGACACCAACTGCTCTAAAGAAATTGCAGCTGAAACCAGAGAGCGAGTTCATGTTAAACAAACCTTGCTGATGAGTTAATTAGCCTGACGAGCACGGATGAGGTGTAACTCACCCAGGTGCTATTCCCTTCCACCAGTTTGGTGATGCTGTGTCGATTCTGTCTTGGGGCAGAAACATCAAAACAACCGATGTGATTCTGAAAGGAGGAGACAAAAAGGCATTAAAGGACAAAGAGGCATTAAAATCCCGAGCAGGCTGGAGGGCAAAGAACAGGGTCACACCACACAGGTAGGCGGCTGTCCTGCCTCTGACCCCGAGGGGAATCAGCGTCCCAGTTCCCACCTACAGCTGGTTCTGATATTTGTGAGCACCCATCCGTGTCCTGTGCACCGGGGAGATGCCGCATATCTCACACATCCTCCCTGGGTGCCCGTGTTCCACACGAACAGCCATTCCAATGCCAAGGGTGGGCGAGGACCGCGGCTCCCGCAGAGGGAAAGCAGAGACGGGAGCGAGGAGCAGCCGCACGGGCCCAGAGCTAACCTGGGGACAGGCCTGGAGGGTTTATAGTGAAATACACCCACGTAGCGCAGAGGAGCAGCAGGGAGAGGCCGCGGAGCCTCCGGAGCAGGGGGAGCGACGCGGACCCGCAGCGCGGGGCTGGAATCGCGGGACTCGAACCCGCGGCCCCGGAGCTCGGGGCGGCTCCCTTGGGCTGTACCGCCCCCTGCTGGCGGCGAGCGGCCCCGCGGGGCAGGGCCCGGCAGGGGAACCCGGCAGGGAACCCCGGCAGGGGAACATCGGCAGGGACCTCGGCAGGGACCTCAACAGGGACCCCCAGCAGGGACCCCCGGCAGGGACTCCCCGGCAGGGACCCCCCGGCAGGGAACCCCGGCAGGGACCCCCGGCAGGGAACCCCGGCAGGGACCCCCAGGTAGGGAACCCCGCAGGGAACCCCGGCAGCGACCCCCGGGAGGGACCCCCAGGTAGGGAACCCCGCAGGAACCCCGGCAGGGACCCCTAGGTAGGGAACCCAGCAGGGACCCCCGGCAGCGACCCCGGCCACCCCGGTGACCAGGGAAGGGGGCACAGGGCAGTGCAGGTGGCAGGGAGGTGTTGGTGGCACGCTGGGGTTTTGGAGCTGGAAGGGAAAATGCACTGGTTGGGAAGGTTCCACAGAAGGTTCATGGAGCGGATAAAGCTCCTTAAAGCAACTGCCCGTGTGGGCAGATCGATTCCTGTCCACCAAACGCAATAAAGACAAAACAGAGAGAGACCATTTCATTCCCCTTGCACTAAAAGAGCTATTTGATATCGACCTGACACATGGCAAGGAGTGCAATACCTCTGAGCATGGACACAACCCAGGGGCTTGGGGCACATGCCAGGGCCA